GTCCACAGCAAATGAGGGCTTGCAATTGTTTTGGACTGTTCCACTGGCCACTTTCTTGTGTCTGTGACTGCATGGCAAGAAAGTGTCTGGTGGGGCTCTCTAGCTCGCCCACTGGAGGTGGCTGGAGCTACGAACTGGGGCTCTGGACTGTCCTTCCAGATCTGCCACCCCCTGCAGGCACCACATTCTGCTTCATGGGTGGGAGTGGCCTGGGTTTTCCCAGGGAGGAAAAGGCAGAATAATGGCACAAGGTTTTCTTGGCTGTTAGCAGTAGGAGCCAATGCTAACGCAAACCCTGAGAGGGGGAAGCACATGTCTGCAGTGTCGGGAAACATTTTTGGTTTGGCTTGGCAGTTTTGGTTAAGTCGTCGTCCCTCATCTTTCAGGTACTGAGCAGGCAGCAGCACTGAAAAACCCCAAGGCGAGAAGTCCTGGTCAAGTCCTTTAGGTGGCTTCTCAGAAAGCTCAAGGAGAGAGGCAGAGGCCACAAGGACAGGGCAGTATAAAAATGGTAAAATAAGGAAAATTGTTTTAAATTAAAGCTGGGAAACCTGCTTTAGAAGTATCCCCTTCACTTTTAAATTATAATGCTAGATAGCCAAGTGAATGCCAAATATGGAAAAAGCAGGGCATCCAATCAAGTTCTAGTGGTGCTGATGGTATATGTCTTTAGCTATCCACCAAGTGCATTCAAAACTATTAAAAGCCAAAGCATCTAAAATCACTGGTCAGTTTTGTGAGCTCTGCTGTATATGCAATACTTTACGTTTATCATTAACACAATTGGCAGCGCAAACCTTCTGCTTCGGGACATTGCACCACATAGGCCTAATTGCTACATCTGTCATTGTTTTGGTTTTGTACAGCAGCTCTGCTGTTGGATTTTCATTTTGAAAAAGTCCCGGAGCTGATTGTATTTAACTTTGCAAAACAGACCACAATTCCAACATGTCTGCCAATTTGGACTCTGAAAGTAACCCAACCATTTTTGGAAAGCATTTGTCTGCTCCTGTTGCTCAGACTTCAAGCAGGAGAACAACAGTGCTCTGCTCTTTTTGCCGTTAAGATTTCTTCATAAGTAAAGAGTCCAAGTGTGTGTGAGGCTGCGGCCTAGAATACAGATTTATGGTTGACCAGTTGCTGTCCCTGGGGCGTAAGGCCTCATTCTCCTATCATTCTTCTAAAAGTTTGAGCTGGCTGCTTACTTTTCCGTATCTTGATGCTTTGTTAGTAAGTCATCCTCATTGCTGCCACTGTCACCACCACATCTCTCAGCTACAGAAGGAGTCACATAATCATGCCAACTGTGTTCATAAACTATTCCAGTGCTCAAGCCCCAGGAGATCAGGATAATATTGCAAATAAGTCTGTGGAAAGAATTGTTAGCTTTAAGAAGTCCAGTGTTCATTGGGTGGTCCAGGAGAAATATGGCTTGCAGTAACTCCCAGACCTTCTGTCACTTTTGTGCAGGAAATAAGCAAGCCGTAAGGAAGGAAAAAGACAAGAAAGATGAGGTATGGCCTTAGAAGTGGCAAGTGACAGGAAGAAGCCCATCTGAGTGGGATACATGGTAATACAGTAGCACTGCAGTATTCTGGAAACAAAATATGACAGCTGATGGCTGATTGAAGGCACAGCTATATATTACACACTGCACAACCCAGCACCCACCACTAGAATTGGCATCTTTGGGTCATTCTCCCCCTCCCATTTGGTCCTTGAGGCCCTTAGGCAAGGCCTCATCCAAGCTCTGCCCTCAGAGAGTCTAGCCAGCTGCCATTGTCCCCAGTTGCTGCTGTTTCTTGCCTCTGTCTCATCCTTGCTACCACTTGCTTGCTTGGCAGCCAGTGATCAAAGCAACTGCACAGCTGCCGTTCCTCATTCTCTGCTTTGCCATTGCCTGGGCCACATCAAGAGGCAGACGAACAAGCAGGTTGCCGTGGTGAAGAGGGGGAACAACTCCAGGGGGCTCTTGTCAGGGGGCCCCTGCTGGGCTGTGAGCCCTTGTGAGGTGCCCACCAATGCCAGTCCCGTTGTGATGTCCACATGCTGTGTGTGCTCCCCCACCTCCACTCCATACCACTGGCTCTCACCAGTGCCAGAGGGCAGATACGCCCAGCAGGGAATCACAACAAGAGGCAAGTGATCCTATATGTTATGGGGAAGTATAACATAAAACAGGCGTGGCATCTTTGGTAGCACCTCTATGTCATAGTTCTGCCTTGATGCATTGACACAAAAGGGATAGGGGTGTCTCAGCTTGAGTACACGCACAATCATCCTTCACACTGTTCTCATGAATTGTGTAAACAGCATTTGTATACTTTTGCACAAATTTGTGAAAGCATGCAAATGTCCCAAAGTACACACATCAAACAACGCACATTTTCATGCTTTAGCCTAAGGGGAAAATGTGTATTCTTGGTCAGTTTTTTAAAGAAAATATGCATTTACAGCTTTATGCTGTAAGCCGTCTAGAGTAATCGGACAGCATACAAATTTTATAAATAAATAATTCTATGACTGCATTTGCATAAAATGACATGGACTTTTTAGAGAAGTCCACAAGTCTGTAGAATCTGGGCAACTTGGGAACAGCCAGCCAATCAGTCTGAGAAATCCAAACCCATTTGAGCCTGTTGTGGATTTCTCCAACATCCTTGAGTCAGAGTTTCAGTGTTACAACATGATCTGATGGAATAAACACCTTCTGCATTCACACAGCGATAGATGCAAGCAAAGGGAGCTTATAGAATGTAACCTGTAGAGAGACCTTAACTGAGGAGCTCAAGATGATCTTTCCTGTGAAAATAGGATTTCCTCCCTCCCCGTTATGCATGCTTCACAGACTTTGCTAGTCCATCTGCTTTCTGATAATGCTAAGAGCCTTCCATATGGAAGCCCCCATAGACAGGGCTGGCTGAGCCACTGTGACTGATGTGCTTCTTGGTCCACACATGTTCACACCTGCAAGCTCATTACTTCCTGGATGCAATATACAGCAATAACCATTGCAGAGATAGGGCAGTATCCAATGCTGTTGATTATTAGCTAGTGCTAATAATATTGCAATGTGATTAGCATTTGCAACATCATTAGTAGTGCAATGCTATTAGCATAATTACCAGGCAAAGGTAAAAAGCAGTGATCTGCCACTGAACAGAGCAGCACAGTTTGCCGCCACATTTCAGCATGGTTTTCTTCTTTGCCTAGGAAGCATGAGCATCGGCTTATACTAGTGCAACCCCATTAATGCTAGTGCTGAGACAACACTAGCATTGTTCATAACTTCAGTGAATGCAATGGAGTCTGTTCACACATTCAGTCACCAGTCTTCAAATGCACAGGAATAAAGTGATGAAAAATCATGTCTGTGCATGTGTGAACAAGCCCTCTGTGCTAGAACAGTGTCTCCAATAAGTGCTTAACTTGTTACGCTTTTTTCAGATGTCTTATTGAGTTCAGATCTGCAACTGTTGTTGCTTGGTAAAACCAGAAATGGCAATGCTTATGTCCCTTTACAATCCCCTTCTCCTTCGCTTCCATATTTACCATGAAAGGTGACTACAGCTGCAATCCTATACACATTTTACTAAGTGTGTGAAGCTGTACTGGACTCAGCAAGGTTTGCTTTTGGGTAGACATGACTAGGATTGTGATGTAAAGATGTAGCATAAACCAGCCAGTGAGGACATCAAGAAATGAAAGATGGAGGGTGACTGAAATCCAAGCAAGCTGATCCTTGTAAGCCCAAATCAGATTAGCACCTTACTGCTTGTGCTGTACTGGCAACAGGACTAAGTAGTTCACTCCTCTCCAGCCCCCATTTCACCCTACCTCCCACCAATGCCCCCCCTTCACACACATGAACTGATCTGCATCTTTACTTCTAGCAACTTCTGCTTCCTTGGAAAGTTATGATTAACTTTTAGTCTGGTAAAGGCCAAACAAGCAGCAACTTGCCTTAGAAAGTTTCTCTCTCTCTCTCTCTCTCTCTCTCTCTCTCTCTCGTGTGTGTGTGTGTGTGAGCAACAGGTTTGTAGCGCTAGTCCATGTGGCAAGAACACCCAGATTTGAAATGGGAGCAGTAAGAAAGAGCCTCAGTGTGGTTAAAGATGGCAGAAATGCTGAGAAGATCACCTTACTACAGGTGAGAATTGGCTACTTACAAGATGATTAGGTGGAAATCTAGCTGGATCTAATGGGATCCAGGTGATGAAAACCCCTGTTCTGGTGTTCATCAGGAAAGCATAGATGGCGGAAAGGGGCTGAGCACACCACTCGTTCTTGGCAATATGCATGTTTTCATTGACTGCAGCCTTAGTATGCCACATGTTGAAGCATATCTTCACATTTGGCTAAACACACTTAAAGTCCTCTGTACCATAAGTAAGGAATCCTACTCCCTCCAGATGTCTGAACTACAACTCCCATAATCATTGCCCATGCTGCCTGGGTTGGTGGAAGTTGTAGTCCAACACATTTGGAGGGTACCATGGTGTCTACCTGGCTCGATGCAATTGGGAAACCAGATAGAGCAAGGCTCCCAAGCACCATGGAGGATTCTGGGGGCCAAAAAGGACATGACTACAGACGCACACCTAACAGGAATGTCCTTTTTCAAATTCTTACTGTAAGTGCAAGGGCTCCAATCAGACCTTCCTGCAGGAAGTCGCAGGAGGCTTTTAATACCTGCTTCTGGAACCCCATAACTATTTTAGAGGAAAAATGAAAATATGATGTCACTGCTACATGTTTAAAACCATGCCTGCTTTGGCTGAATACCTTCAGCCAAATATATAAAGATTCTCCCTTCAGACCCTCTGCTCACTGCACAGATCTGAAGCTGCAGCTGCTGGAGAAGAGGATTTGGGGGACTGTGCATTAGAGGTGAACACATGGAAGCAACGTCTGAGCATGGCTTTGGTGAGCATGAGATCACATAATGCTCCCTCACATCACGAGCAGTGGGTGGAACAATAAACTGGGACCGCACTTACTTGCATTCCTAGATTCACCAACAGGAGAAATAAGGACCCGTTTTACTTTCACCACTTTCCACTCTTGACTTGGATCATCTCTGGTGTCGAATCCAGTTTGGAGTAGATCAGGAGCAGGGCTCGGAGGATCTCTTGTCAAAGGACATCCACCACCAGTGGGCAAGCCACTTCCATCTTTTTGGAGTGATAGCATATCTCCGTTGGATGTCTGGGATTTCCATAGGAAGTGTTCTCTTGTTGACTCTTTTAGCTCTTGGTCCTTTGGATCTGCAGGGCAACGCTTTCCAATGTGCAGACCTCTTAGTTTGCTTTCTTTCTCCTTGTCTTGCAGCCCTCCCAAACCACCATAGCCTTCCCCAGAGTCAGGCTTGGCCTTCTTAAAGCCATTTGGATTTTGGCTTGACTTGCTGGGTCCAGCACAGCTGGACTGAGCTGGAAGACAAGGTTGCAGTAAGGTTGCCTTGAGCATTTTCCCCCCTTACTACGATTACTTGTTAAGGTTCAATGATTTATTGATTTAGGGTAAAGATCAGCTTTTGATTCCTTCTTGGAGGGGGACAACACCACTCTAAGAATCTGAACACTTCAGTAGGTTGGTCCAGGAAAGAGGCTGAGTAAATAATGTCCAGGTTGCTTTAGAACATTAAACCTTTCTCTTACTTGATTAGTAAGATCTTGAATGCAGGTGTAGAGAAGGGAGTTTCCAAGTGTGGGTGTTGCATTTCTGCCTTCTAAAAGTAACAGCAGACTTTTAATTGTGAGGGTATTCTCCAGAAAATAGACTTATTTCTCTTGCATTTCTTTGCAGTTGTCAGTTGCTCAAGAGGAATGAAGTAGAGCACCTTATGGAATTTTCCTTGTCTACTTCATGCATGTAGCAGATTCAAAGCAAGAAATCTAATGCAAAAGAAACACACACAAATCAGCATTTAATGAGCATCTTAGTATTCAGTCTGAAATAAATTTATCTTCATATTTGAGATCATTTAAATAGCAAGTGGCCATGGTAATTTGGCACTACTGGATAGAAATGGTTCAAAGCAAGGTATTGCTGATTCTCCAGATCCACTGCTGGACCCCCTGCCATACCCCTAAAAGCTGCTTATGACGACTGGGACTCCTCCCAAACAGTGTGGGATAGGTAAACAGGGCTGCATTTGGTAGAGGGATTGGAAAAAATGTGTGCCGCAGCTTGGGTGGGCAAGTCTTCTCTGCTGGTGTAAAGCTGACACTGGATATAGCCTACTGGGTCAGATCCAGACTATGTTACTCACACTTTAGTTCCACTTGTTCTGCTGACTCCTAAATGGGACTACAGCATGACTGACTGAGCTGACCAAGTTCAAACTAAAAATATAAAAGGATATACACACATATTAGCTTTAGAATCACATGGTTGTTGGCAAAGAAGGGACTTGGAAGTTACCTTGCCCAGAGTTGTCCTTAGCATGTGGAAACTCAGAACAATATTGCCAAGTTCCCCTGTGCAGCAGGTTCCAGAGATTCAAGTGAACCAAGCAGCTCTTTCTCATTCTTGCTACTTGACACTCTGCTTGTGAATTTTTGGACTGTGGTGAAAGTATGGCTGGAAAAGCACGACCTCGACATCTAAGCTCTAACACATGACTTGCCTCTGTTTTGGGCTCCATGACTTTGCCATTCTCTATCTACTAAAGCATAGAAGGGTGTGAAAGTCATTTTCTGACAAATCTTCTCTGGTATTCCTCAGTATATAAGCCTGCAACTGGGTTTGCACAATCAGCAGCTGGCAGCATGGCTTAAATAAACCATAGTGGCTTGTGGCACATGCTGGTTGCCACTGTGAATATTCAAGCCATGACAGGTGGTTGTTGCAGCTGATTGTGTCATGTGAACCCATGTTAGTGTGGTTAGTAAGCTCCCAGAATACACAGGCTGTTAACCATGATAACAAGCCACCCTACCCTGCTTTGCACAACATAATAAGCCAGCATGTATCACAACCCACCATGACTTATTTAAATAATGCTACACACTGCTGATTGTGTGAACCTGCCCCCTGTGAAATTAATGCTCTCTCCTTTTGGGTATCTCTTTCTTTTGGAGGCGGGGGGTTCGAATGGAGGGGCTGCTGCAGCACTAAAAAGATTACTGTGAAGATTCTCATCTACGTAAGCCTCCCTTCTCTCTTGCTGTCAGCTGTAGTCTGCACCACAAGAGTTGCTAGGCCTGGGCCCATCTGTCTCGTGGGGGCCTACATTAATGCTCCAGAGCCCTGACCTGGTATCCACAGGTGCCAGTCAAAAGATTTTCCGCAGCTTAATTGCCATGGAGCGGATGATTTTCAAGGAGGACTGCAGCCAGGAGAAAAGCATATATTTCTGCATGGCGATTAGCTTATTGAGGAACAATTTTGTTTGATTTTGAATGATCTGGGGCAGCATGCAACTTGACTGAAGAATTTATTTCAGATATTCGGATGAAAAATTGACTGACTTGTCCTCCTCTGAAATGTTGATAGTTAAATACTTTAAATAATTCATTTGTTTGGTTATTCAATGAAGAGATGAAATAAACCCATGTAATTGTTTCTGGATTTGCACATATAGATATAAACATATGCACATTCCGTGCAAATGGGTGTCTTGCAGGTTGGTTCCTTTGGTTTGCCTACTGACACCTCTGCTTTGTGCTCATACCGCAAAAGGCTTGTATGCTTTCAAGCACATGGTGCTATTTGTACAGGGCTTATTCAAACAGGGGAAAGAGGTTCCTCAAATAATGGCAGTCGTGTTGCTTCAGGCCAGGGAACAAAGAGAAGAATAAGCTGCTGTCTTCAGGACAACAGGACAGGCTTTCTGCACTGGGTCAGGAAGGCTCCCAGAGCAGTTCATGTGTGATCTATTCGAACATGACAGTCTGTGTCCAAGGGACTTCAGTCTAAATTGGATAATGTAAAAGGAAAAAGAGACAGCCATGTTGTCTAAGTTAGTGCAACAAATTGTGGCTTCTTCCTTTTCTCTAGAGAAGAGGAGCCAATAAAGCCCTTAGAGGAGCTCCATCAATAACTTAAGTTCAGGGTAAATTCCATACATTCTGGGTTGGCAGCCATCATCCTTCTGGCTTGGGAGTGCCTTGGGAGTGTTGTTTCATCAAGTCCCAGCAGCAGGCTGCTATTCCAGGAGGGTCCAGAGAGGAAAGGAATCTGTCAGGTGCAAAAGAGGAAAGGCAGCAGACCTCAGAATGGTTGCAATACTGGGGCTTGCTCTGTGTGTGTGTGTGTGTGTCAGCCTTCTTCAGCCTTCCAGAAGTACTGGACGGCAACTCCCATTGGCCTCAGACTGCACATCTGGAGGGTGCGAGCCTTGGGGAAAGCTAGAAGATTTCTTTCTCACCCAGCCAGCCCCTGCCTGCTTCTATTTTGATTATATTTCCATTTATGAACAAGAAAGAAGCCTTTAGCTACACCCACCACTGCAATGAGAGCATGTCTGAAATAGAATTTGGTCCTCAGGTTGAAAGTGCTTCAAGGGGCCCTAGTTTGGTATCACCTTAGAGCAGACCTGGGCCTTGTACGGCCCACGGGCCACATCCGGCCCAATGGCTGACCCTCACTGGCCTGCATGAGGTCACTGGCAAATTAAAAGTCAATGCAAATATATATCGTCGTAATATAGATGCAAGCAATACAACTGCACTCTTTTATTTTGAAGGATCTGCTAAATTGGAATGGATGAGGGCCAATAAACTGAAACTCAATCCAGACAAGACGGAGGTCCTGTTAGTTGGCGGATCGGGCTTCGGAGAGGGTGGATTTGACCTGGTCCTGAATGGTGCAACACTCCCTCTGAGGGACAAGGTCCGCAGCTTGGGAGTGCTCCTCGACCCAGAGCTTTCTTTGGAAGCTCAGGTGACAGCGGTGGCAAGGAGCGCCTTCCTTCAGCTTCGGCTGATTAATCAGCTGCGCCCCTACCTGGAGTACGACTGCCTGGCGATGGTGACACACGCGCTGGTGACTTCCCGCCTAGACTTCTGTAACGCGCTTTGCGTGGGGCTTCCTCTGAAGATGGTCCGAACACTTCAATTGGTGCAAAATAGAGCTGCCAGGTTGCTGACGGGGACGGGGCGTTATGCTCACATGACTCCAGTCCTCCGTCAGCTTCACTGGCTTCCCATTGAAGCCCGGGCCCAATTCAAGGTGTTGGTTATGACTTATAAAGCCCTAAACGGCTTGGGTCCTGGCTACCTGAACGAGCGCTCACGTCCATATATGCCTGACCGCCCTTTGAGATCTGCGGGAGAGTCCCTTCTCCGGGAACCCTCCATGAAAGAAATTAGGAGAGTAAATACTCGGAGGAGGGCTTTCTCTGCGGTGGCACCCAACCTATGGAATTCACTCCCCAAAGAGGTCCGCCTGGCTCCGTCGTTACTGGTTTTTCGGCGCCAGGTAAAGACCTTTTTATTTAAACATCATTTTAATTGTTAAAATATATGATCTGGCCAAGGCAACTTCTTCTTCCTTCTCTTTTCTCCTCCTATATTCTTTACTTATTTTATACTGTTAATTTTAATTTTATATTATTGTATCTCAGTGTATTTTTTGTATTTTTGTATTTCGTGGTAATTTATTATGTTCTATTGTACTTCAATGTATCTTATTGTGTTGTAAGCTGCCCCGAGGCTTCGTCAAGGGGCGGCATAGAAATGTTATAATAATAATAATAATAATAATAATAATAATAATAAATTGAATTGAATTTATTGCTTTTCAGGTAATGTTAATGTTAATGTTTTTGTGAATATTCATTAAATAGTGTTGTTCTGTGCTCCACATTTTCATTGTATCATTGTAATGTTTCATTTACTGTTTTTATAGAGATATATATTGAGCAGAGCTCTAAGTGTATTGGTCTGGCCCTTAACAACTGTCACAGTTTCTCATGTGAAAATTAATTGCCCACCCCTGGTCTAGAGTCAAACTGAATACAGTTGCTAGCTACTTCTCACAATTAATGTCTGCTTTGGTTTTCAGAGTACTTCCAGACATTTACTGTTCAATGCCCTGTCTTGTTTATGCAATGTCTCTATGGGTACAGGTGAGGACATCATCCACCTGTAACCCTCAAGTGTGTTTCCCACATTTTCTTCTATCTTGTTTCTTGCTGCAGATAATCAATTAAGGAGAAGATGATGGAGCAGCTAGCAGCTATTTAATGAATATTCACAAAAACATTAACATTACATGAAAAACAATAAATTCAATTCAATTTAGCAGATCCTTCAAAATAAAAGCAGTGCAGTTGTATTGCCTGCATCTATATTACAATGATATATATTTGCACTGACTTTTAATTTGCCAGTGACCTCATGCGGGCCAGTCAGGGTCAGCCATCGGGCCGGATGTGGCCCGTGGGCCGTACAAGGCCCAGGTCTGCTCTAGACTAAGCCTGGGAACAGTAAGGGAGGCTTTAATCCTTTCCCCTCAATGGGGGCCTGGCCTAGATTTCCCCACAGTTCCTCTAAGTTATGCTACAAAATGGTGATGGAAATGGTTCACTAAAGCTGTCCACACATGCTGATCTGGATTGAGTACCCTGTGAGTACACTAGAGTAAAATGAAAGTCATGCCTGGTTTGGCCTTAAGTTGTTTGAACCAGCTGCAGGTAATGATTTTTTTTATTTATTTAAAACTCTTCTATACTGTCCCTTCACAGATGTCTCAGGACAGTGTACAACAGATTAATAAAACAGAATAAAAATAGAAAAATAGAAATATGAATAGCAGTTGCTTGTCCCATAGAATTACATGTAATTCAAATGTAAAACCTGACAATGACTGGCATGTGTGTTCACTTCTTTCTTCATGCTTTATCCCACATCAACAACTTCCATGTGGGGTGCTTGAAGCCATTGGATGCTGTGACTCCAGTAGCAGTAGGACAGTGTAACCCCTCTGGGGGACAGTAAAGAGCTGCCCCTGCACCGAACTCCCCCCCCCCCCCGCACCCCATGGTTGTAGCACCAAGAATTGCTCTTCTGAAGTTCAAGATGATGCCCAGAGTGGGTACACTCTGAGCTGGAGCAATCAGCCACTCCTGCATGAGGCTCAGAGGTGCTTTTTCACAGTCAAACATCAGAGCATCAAGAGCTGTTTGTTTTAACATGGTGTCTGTCTGTACAGGGTGCATGGCGTAGGTCATACTAGAATACAAATATCTCTGTTGCTGTGGCATTATGCCAGTGTGGAAATCCTAGACAGTCAAATGCTTACTTGATACTTGTGTCTGACCCTCTTTGATGGGGAACAGGAGAACCAAGGATGGCAAAATCCCTTGGGAAAGGCTCTACCTACTCTCTGGTTATGCAAGCAATTCCTGGGTGGGTTGTGGCATGTAACATCTATAAAAGATTAAAATATAAACATGCAGCTAAAAATAAGACTTCCTAAATCCTACTTGTTACAGCTAGTGACAAGGAATGCCTGTGCCAATAAAAAAGGGCTTACATCAGTTTTGGAGGATAGAAGGAATTTGTATCTCTCCAGGGCATATTCACACTAGCTTTCACCTGAAGACGATATCCTCAAAAAAGTTGAATAATCATCACCACCACCAATAATAAATTATTATTAGTGGCAGAAGTATTCCTCCTGACCAGAACTGGTATACCTGCTTGTGATTTTAAAACCTGCAACAAATCTGCTGGCTGGGAGAAGCTGC